CACCGACGATGGACTACGCATCGACCGTCTGGAGATATAGATGTCGAGCAGCGCAGATGAGGGCGATCAACCGAGTGCAGAGGATTGGCGCCCAAGCGATTGTGGGAACCTTCAACACGGTGGCCACGGCGGTCGCTGAAGCGGAAGCAAGCATACAATCGGCACAAGAGAGATACGACAGAAAATCAACGACATTCTGGGTACGGATGCGAAGCCTCCCCAAGACCCATCCGCTTCGACGTTTGCGGGCGGTGGCCTTTAGACGGTTTCCATCACCCTTCCAGTTGATGGCGGAGGCCTACCGCGACCTGCCTCTTGACAAGCTGGAGACTACTGAAGGGTATTCGATCGCGCCATGGGAACGTCGTATTGATGCAGTAGTCGACGACGGAGCGGTCAAGGCCTCTGAGGCAATCCGGTCTGGATGGGCAGTGAGGATAGCGACAGGGAGCTCAGCAAGAAACGAGGCTGTGGGCTTTGGAACGGCGACGACGCTGCCCGCATCTTTCAGAGGGGGCGGTGGCATCGTGACGGCCTCGCGTACGTTCGGTCAGAGAACGGAGCAGAACCCGTATGTAGCAGAGCTAGCGGCACTGGCGGAAGCGGTCAAGTCTCTCCCGGAGAGACTCGAGTACCGGGCCATCCACGTGTTCACCCGCAACAAAGCGGCGGTGTTAGTGATGCGCAATCCGCGGCAGCAGTCAGGCCAACGAGAAATCCAACAGTTTTACTCCAGCATGCAAGCTCTGCAGAGACGAGGCAACAAAATTACTCTCTTCTGGCTTCCATTATCGATAGAGTCAGACCTGGCGCAAGCGGCCAAAGCAGCAGCAAAGGAGAGTACGCGTTCGAACAAGACACCTCAGAAACGACCGGTCAGAGCCTACTCGACGGCACTTAGGATCGCTTTACAGAGCGTGCGACAGAAGCACAGAGCTTTGCCCCACAACGTAGGAGCATATTCGAAGAAGATCGATGTGGCTTTACCAGGAAAGCATACACGCGAGCTATATGATGGACTGTCCTGGAAAGAAGCCAGTATCCTGGCGCAACTGCGCACCGGCATGGCAAGACTGAACTGGTACCTGCACCAGATCGGTGCAACTGCCTCGGCGCAATGCGCCTGCGGGCAAGCGGCAGAAACGGTAGAGCACTTCCTCTTCCGTTGCACACAGTGGACGGCACAACGATCTCGGATGCTTCAACAGACGGAGTCGCATAGACGAAATCTATCGTACTTTCTCGGAGGAAAGAGCGCGTCCGACCCAAAGGATTGGTCGCCGAGCGTAGATGTTGTCAAAGAGACGATCAAGTTCGCCATGAGCACGGAGAGACTGGATGCACAGATTAGCCAGCAGCGAAACCACACACCACCTACATCAACACACTAACCGACGACATCCCCCACGCACCCTCGTGCCATCGACAGCAGGACTAGCTTTGGCCGCCGACGATAGGACGCCGAACACTTTGGGAGACACCTTAAGATGGCCTGTTACTAACCCCACGAGCAACCGCAGCATCGGCATGTAAAACTAAAGATAACATATGCGGAGACTGACAGGGCTTGTATGGGCTTCTGGGAGGCAAGGATATAAATGCAGGTGGAGAATATGTAGATAATCATGCGAGCCCTGAATAGCTTAGCCGGGGCGTAATAAACTATGTATGTATGTCCACTCATATTCTCACAACAACTCCACGAGGACTTTCTGTCATCAAACTCTGTCATATTTATCGGCTGCTCGGAATTCAGCCATGTGAGTTGAGAAGAGATAGCCAAAGTCTTCACGATTACTTAGTTTGGGATCGTTGTGAAGTAATGCAGCAACGTGGACACTGGCGAGGATTTCATAGGATACTGGGCAATCAAAGAGAATACGAGTTTGGAATTGGTCTTGGAGTGGACAGTTTCGTTCTTGGAGTTGCGCTTACGATTTGCCAAACAATTATCACGAGTGCCATGAACAGATTGAGTGCAAAATCGCACGAGACACATACGTATATAACGCCCAAAAAGCTCCCAACAGAAACGAAAATATTGTCCATAACAGCAGAAAACCACCAACGCACACTCCCAACTCCAAGCTTTACACACAAGATTTCTCTTACTTCCCCTACCTTACACAACAAAGTCACAATGGCACACTTCAGCCGCCCCGTTCTTCTCATCCTCACCACTCTCTTCCTTTTCTACGGCTTCAGCACCGCCTTCCCATCTCTCGCGGGGGCTCTCGAACCCCGTTGCTGGCGCAAAGCCTGCGATCACTGCGAGCGTGTCACCGTCACCATTGATCACCCCGGCTCCTGCAACAGCGTCAACCGCGATAATCTCAAGGCAGCCATCGACAGCACTTTCGTCAACTATGCCGGCAACTGCAGAGGCGAAGAGGCTGGTTTCAGCAACCAGGCGATTGCTGGCATCCAGGGAATCGGTTGCAGAGTTACTGTCAACTTCCCTCGTGGCAACAAGGGTGTCGACTGGGGTGGTTTGATCGGTTCCAACCTGGTTGGAACGGGAAGCTGGGCTGTCTCTGGCACCTCTACCGATGGCAGCGTGCACTGCGGCGGTTCATGCCAGTGGTGATTACATTGGCATCACAATCTTTCGATTTTATCACCGCGTCATTGGTTCCCGGAACGACAGGTCCAATGATTGCGGAAACAGCACTTATACGAGATGTTGCCCGGGTGTTAAAGCCAAGTTTCACAGGCAGTTGGACTTAAGTGGATATTTTTTGCTTTTCTTCAACACGCATTTCACCGCACCAACTTGAGTTAGATTATCATTTACTCTTAGTTTCTCAAACTCACTGTTATTGCCAATTATTTCCCATTCCAATCATCGAGACAAGTTCGCTGCATTCTTGAGACTTCAAGTTACTAGCAGACCAAGAGTTGAAAAAAGGACACCATAATGCAGTTCCACACTTCCACCCAAGTCGATCTGATAGGAAGCTGGGCACCGAGACCAGATCAAGTGACCTTATTGTGGACTATTAGGTGGCTCTATCCCCTGCCGCTTGTTGGCCCAGTCTCCGCATCCCGCGGGCCGCCCATCACTCTTGGCTGCTGACATGCCAAGCAGGAGCTGGTAGCGTGTCAGCCTTGAGATTCGTTGCAAAAGCGAGTGCGAATTCACAGCCACAAAGGATGATGTTACCTGCACGGTACCTAAGGCAGTTTCAAAGACTGTAAAGTTCCTAAAAACGCAGTTTCGTATAAGACCACTTCCTCCTCTGGATTGACGAAAGACTCGATATTATTTAGCAATCTGACTAGCTGGTTTCGCACTCTTCCAGTCTTTATTCTAAAGAAATCGACCTCTCTGCAGTCAATACTGCCAAATATTTAGAGACAAGAGCATTCGAAACGCTCCAAGATTACGGTCATTTTTTCCCAGATGATCCTTAGCTGATTACGAATATGCTAGCTACCATAAGCAGTGAAAGCAAAAGAGTGGCTTCTCAAACAGCCGCCAGCTTGGTGCAAAGCGTTTTGAAAGAACGGGATAAGGTCGTTGTAAGGACTGGAGGGAATAGCAGTGGGAAAAAGCATGGCCTGGTGGAAGAGATTGCCCAATCGGCGGCGGCAGGTATTGGTATAATCTCTGAGGCCTTACATCATAGAGAAGAGAAGAAGTCCAGAGCACTGAATCCAGACAAGCCCCCAAGTCAGCCAGGCAGTATCAGCAACACGCAGTCTACACCGACACAGCTTGACGAAGGAACTGGAAAGGCGAATAACACTGACCTTGGAGCAGCAACGCCTGTGTCAACTTCGCCAACTTCTCAAGACACAGATGATCTTGCATTAGCTTTTATCAAGCGGCACCCGTTGAAAATTCCTGGAAGTTCTGAAGACGGGCAGAGACTCTCTCTGCCAGTGCTTGTGCCCCAGAGACGGCCCGAGAAGCGGGCGCGGGGCTTCATACGAGCCTACGCACCCATGCTAGTCGACGTTGATATCAATCAAGATACTTTCTTCGACTTCATCGATACCCTCAATAAGTCACTCGAACCCAACCCCTGGATCAGCGCCGTCAATTTGGCGGGGTTTGCAGGAGAAGCGCTGCCCGATCCTGCATCGCTGCTCCTTGGATTCGCCCTCGAGGCTGCTAGCGAGGCCGTCATGGAGGGACAAAGTCTGTTCTGCTCTAACAAACTTTTGAACTGCGTGAATGCAGAGTTCTTCGTTCCGCGAGGGTTAATCTGCCTCGTTGTTACATGGCAGCCCGACAACGACAGCGGCGAATTCGCAACCAACTTTGTGGAGGAAGTGAACATTCCCCAAACCAAGCCTGATTTAAAGCAGGAAATCTCAGATGTTGCCTCAGGAAAGAAGAAGCCTTCGGAGGGCTGGGCAGAGTTAAAGACACAGATAGGCGACTTGATGAAGCCCACTTGTGGCGACTTCAGCTGGCCTGAGCTGGCGCCTCTGATCTTCCCGGACTTTGAAGGCACACCCGATAAAGTGGATGTTGAAACTAAGCAGATGAACGCCTGGGACAGAATGGAGGATTGGATCAACGGCCACTCAGACAAACGCGCCCAAGCTAGCTGGATCGATAAGAACAAGAATCATCCAAGGATGAACTTGATGCCACAGCCAAAGTTCAAATCACGATACGCCGACCCGAATCATCAAGCATCTAGTGGTGACCTTGTCTCTTTGGTCACAGGAGGTCGCTGGAGGCTTGCTACGGACAGAAAGGCCGAATCCAGCAAACGGCCAGAGAAGACGGCTGAGGAGAAGTGTGATAAAGAGAAAGAAATGCAGAAGAGCAGCAAGAAGAAAAGGAAGGAGAATACAACGGAAGATAGTAGGAAAAGCACCCTAAAAGCGGATCAAGAGAAGAAGAATGATGGCGAGATGAGAGAGATAGCAAATTGTCAAGAGAGGAACCAGGAGACTATTAATTTGAGAAGTCACAAAAAAGAAGGGGGCATCGCAGAAGATGCCGGGAAAGATGGTGCAGCGAATACGAAAGACGAATGCAGAGCTGGCGAGATTGAAGATGGCCGGGCGAGTGGAGGCGAGGGCAAAGGCCGAGCCAAGAAGGGGAAGAAGAAGGTTGGTTCTCCAAGCACATCAGGTGATATCTTCAAGTGTTTGTTCCAAAAGGTAAGCATGATACATAGCACACCTCCGTGGAGTCTCGATGCTGATCACACACTGAAGGATGTACTCTACCTGGCCATCCTTGAGCTTCCCTCCTGAGAAAAGCCGATTGGTGATTTAATTGGACTGTCTCGAAATGATCAGCTTGCAAACCAACAGACTTCTCAAACCGGCTGTTTGAAAAGGAGGGCGGAGACATGGACCAACGGGGCATTTCGACTTCTGAATGCGCGGTTGGAAGTTAAGCGCCAACACTTCCCTTGAATTCTAGCACCACGTTTTGACTAGCCAACCACGATTGATCTTGAGCTTCCTAGCTTCACATAAATGCGACTAACGTATCTTGGCTGAAGCATGTTGTGATTGGGAGCAAGGGTTTTAGTTGATCCACACAGCTGCATTTGGTGATTTGGAACCAACAAGATCTCGAATTCGGCGGCTAGGTGAGGCTCAGTATGGCGTTTGACGCCTTCATCCAGATGTAGCTTCAACGTTTTGCATTTCAAAGCCTGTGCCACTCCGCTTCTTCAATGTTTCATATCCCTCAGCAATTGTTAAGTGCCTTACCTTATAAAAGCTCACGCTCCCGATCCCCTTGACAGTCATGGGTTCTATCCACTTGTCATTTCGACGCATCTAGGCCCCCACGCCAGTAAGATTCCACACTCGAAACTAAAGTCCTCCAGCCTCATATTTTCTCAACTTGGCTCATTCTCCTATCTTACCGAGCTTAAAGCCTCGATACGCAGTACACCATGGAGATCCTCGAGACTCCTCTCCCCCAAAATCAACTAAAGACTCACGATGTATCCGATGACGCACCGGGAGCACCTTTGATAAATTCGACGCCCGCAGTCTCGTCTCCGAGCTGCCTTCACGATAATGATGTGTTTGACTTACTATGGTTAGCCTTTGATAACAAGCAAGCCGTTCAAGGCGTCTTCAATGGTCGGTGTCCTCCATCCCATTTGAATCCATCACCATCGCCAATACTGACGTACTTGAGTAGTCCAGGGCGCCGTGGCTTCTGGAAAAGCCGAGCTTGTTGTGTTTGCTTGGCAAAACCTCATGATGAAGGATCATCTGAGGGATGCCATTGAGCACCGTACTTGGCAATTCTGCAAGGAACATCACATTCCCACATTCTTTGTCTCTAGCATGTATTTCCTAGGTCATGGTTGTGGTTTTGATTACGCTATTCGCGCTGTAGCCGTTACTTTCCAGGAAGGCAGCGAGCTGACAGATGAGATCAACGACATGAAGAGGAGGATTCAAATGCTCAGGCGTATTCCTGATGAATCCGAAGCTGAAGAGTTCATCAACAGCGATACACTCGAAGGCAAGCCCGATGGCTTCGAAGCTGAAGATCACATTTGCACCGGTACTTTCGGCAACAAGCCCGACGACTTTAAGCCTGAAGAAGATGTTTGTGTCGAAAATCTTAATGGCAAGCCTGATGATGCCGACACTCAAGATTCCGCATGCAGCGAGATTCTCAGTCACAAACCCGATGGTCTCGAGACTGAGATATCAGCCTCTGCAGATGTCCTCGAAAGCAAGCCGAGCGACCTCGAGGCGATACAGCCCATGCGCGCTGATAGCTTTGGAAGCCTATCTATGGCATCTGAGATTGCACAGTCTACGCGCACTGACAGCTTTGGGAGCACTTCAAGTGCATCAAGCATGTCAGGCGAGTCTGACGACTTCGATCCTTTGGAGTCCAGTCGCGCTGATAGCTTTGGAAGCCAACCGAGCATGTCTGAAGGCTCCGTTGCTGAAGACCCAACTTTTGCTGAGAGTATGGAAGATGGCCGATAAGTTCATCCTGGCATATCTCTGTCATGATGACTTAGGCTACGCAGTAATGTCTGGATGGATCGACATACCAACATCCCCGGGGCCCCGGGCCAATGTTTGGTTCAAAAGGTGTGCGGGGGCAACGCGGTTCGAGTACCTTGGTCGATCAAGTGGATGTGAATGGAGGCACTCGATCCTATCATCCTCTCAATGACTACATGCTAATTTTCTGAACTAAGTACGTTTGAGTCCATGATGTGAGCTGCGAAGATGACCTTCTCGACGTGTAGGACATGATGTGTTGTTCAAGGTAGTCTGCCGTAGCAATCCCCGGGTCGCTTAGAGGAGTGGGGTCGTCTCAACTCAACCCCCATTCAATTTGCCTGAAACACCCTTCCCCCGAAGGCTCGTCTACCACGAACATTGGACAACACCATTCAAATTCATATTCGAGGACTTATGATATGCTCATGGCAATTTACAATCATGCAAATCTCGGGCGAACTGTCGGGATTCTCGTGCCGGAAGGGCGCAAGATCGTCCGGCCGCCCGTTGACCGGTAACCCGAGCTGACAAGTCGATCACAGGCACAGCCGACGCATCCCACGGGAACCTCAAGAAGCTTAACCGGTGTTTTTATACCTATTGTCAACGGCGACTGGTGCAAAATCCAGTCTGCTTTACCGCCAAATAGGCAAGTACCGACAACTCTTTTACGATACGACGTAGCAATGCATGGTTGCGGGGGTTAGGTGCAACCTTCGGCCTGATGTATTACCATTAAGTTCGGACGACAATCGTTCCCACCCCGGTTCAAGATGACCCTGCTCAGTTCGTGTTTAGCCTGAGGCTTTTGGCTGGAAACACCCTTTGAGGATGAAAGTGCCCTCCAATATCCGTACGTAGTTCGCCGTGAGAGCCGTCTAAGTTTAGCGGCACTCGGATCGTCATGTCATGGGGGGGCCCCTGCGTCGGAGTGTTTCGCCTCTTTCCAAAAGCGATGTTTCCAGTCCCTGGCAGTGGGTGGAAAAACTGACGGTGTGGAGGTTAGTTCATCTATCTCGAGGGTTCGGCGGGGCTTTGACAGGGAACGTGAAGCCGAGCTAGCCATAGACATCAGCCGACTGCCATCAAGTTGAAGCCTGGTTGAAGAGGTATTTGACCAAGTCCATTTCCCGCCTGTTCGTCTGGTCTCTTAGTCGAAGTAGCTTCATCGCCCATTTCAAGAGCGAACAAATAAACAGTCTCTTCACAGAAAATGGTTTGGCTCAACCAAGCCGCCCTCTTCCTGGGCAGCGCGCTGCTCGTAGCAGATGTGCTCCCCGTCGGAGCCGTCCGCACCATCATCCCCAAGACGAGCTTCGACTCCCAGTCTAACTTCGACGCCGACTGGAACTACCTCTACCCCTGGGGCACCGACCACAACGGCGGTGCTCGCATGACGAAGGACAACGTCAAATTCAGCGGCGGAACCTTGACCATCACAGCCAACAAGGTCAGCGGACAGCCGCAGGCGACGCATGGCGGGCAAAAGATCAACATCAACTACCTAAGCGGAGCGATCCACGCAAAGGAGCACTTCAACGTCTCGCGTGGGGGCGGGTATGACTTCAGCGCCGAGATCAAGGCGACGACGACAAAGGGCACGTGGCCCGCCTTCTGGCTGACAGCCGTCCAGGGGTGGCCGCCAGAAATCGACATGGCGGAGTGGAAGGGCAGCGGCAAGGTCAGCTTCAACACATTCAACACAAGCTCCATCGTCGCCGCGAAGGACGTGACGTACCCCAGCCCGGGCAACTTCCACTCGTTCAAGTGCGAGACGAGGGACTTGAACGGCAAGGACGTGCAGGCCAAGTTCTACATGGATGGCAACCTCATCACGACGCAGGTGGGCGCCGGGTATTTTGGGAAGCCTATGTATTTGTGAGTGAAAGCTTGGCTTCTAAGCGTGAAGTTTATCACATTGCTGACACAAGGGGTGAACAGGATCATCAACTTGCAAATGGAGGGTTCCTCCGGTTCGCCCGGCCCAACGAGCAGTAAGCTTTCTTTGCCAATTTATTCATGAACTCAAATCGCTGACAACCCCACTACAGACACGGAATATCAAGTCCGAAACCTCGAGGTGCTGAGTTACAATCCTTGAAATGACGGAACGAATGATTCGAGCGAAGCGTCACAGTTCATGGGCACATTATGCCTTTCATTTTCCCTGTATCTATTTCATAACTGGGAGCACGCTCCACGTACATATCTTGCCATCAAATAGGAAATATCATGGATGGCACTGTCAGAGGCAGCAGTTGAAGACCTTGAGTCATCTACCAGCTTGTGACAATAGTTGACCATCGCACGATCACGTCTACGGCTGTCAGGTCTTCAATGTCAGTATCATGAGCGAATATGTGTGTTGCCAGGGCACGATCCTTGTCAGTCTTTGCTGCAATTAACAAACGATTCTGTATCTTTTACATACCTCAGCACTGCAACTTGAATCAGTGCAAACCATGTAAATTTGAGCTGTTGTACTTCCATGGGTAAGAGATCGGTCAACGGTGTTCACGAACACCGAACGCTGGTGGCATTTGTCCTATAGTCAAAATGTTAGCATGATGACAAACTGACGACTTATAACAAGAGGAGTACGGAGGGGATGTCAGGTTGTGATTGGGCCATCTACTGAAACCTTTTGTCGAACATTTCCGAGTCTGTTTGAGGAGATCCCGTGTCCTGTGGGCGTTAGTCTTCGGTCCGAGTCGTGCTTTCTTTACCTTGCTTGAGTGTCCATGTTGCATGGGTGAGGGGCGCTGCCTACTGGGTGTTGTGGATGGAATTTCTCGCTCACCATTTTCCCTACCACACACTTAGCTGTCAGACTTTGTGGGAATACTGACTTGTGAGAACCTCTACTCTGGATATAAAAAGAAGACAACGTTGACTTCAGTTTTCTGCGTCCCTACTACCTGAGATGGCCGGCCTTGGCCTAAGGTAGTCATACTTACATTCCCATAGGTTGTGGATTGCGTTGCATGGCGAGCAGAACAATTCTTTGAACCACAACTCTCAATAATGATCCCTTGATGCTTTGACAGATTGACTGTCAACCTAAGGACCTTGTGGTCGAGCTGCGACAACGCCGATCTGTGATCTGCTCCTTAATACCGAAGCCTCCCGCCTTTCAGTACAGCTAAGAAGGGCTCCATAAATAGACGCAAAATAAGCAGAATCCAGGCTTCTTTGTGCCATACAATTATTTTGGTGATCGCATCTTCACTGTGAAAGCTCTGTCTTTTCAAGCATTCGAAGATTGCTTTGTGAAATTCTTAAAAGCTCTTTCCTGGCCAGCAAGGTAAGGTACCTTCCTCACTTTGTTCCAAGGGAGGAAGCGCTGGAAGACGAAGGGGCAGGAGCGAGTGGTCTATGCAGTTTTATGCTTACCTAAGTGAGCAATGCCGACATGACATAATGAGATCTGTCACGTGGCACCGTGTTGGTCTCGTGTCTGATCCGCTCGCGTGTCCTCGACCCCTGCCACTTTTTTCCTCCCCCACCATCTTTGATTCCCTGAATGATTGTCGCGTCATTCACATTGCTGTTCATCAAGTCAAAGCCGGTTCGACAATGAGATGTCACGATGCCGCGGTCCAAAACCCTTCAAGCGGCAGAGAAGAAAGCCATCGAGGGCAATAACGAAATCGCAAGACAGCCAAGCCATTTTTGACCGATATGTGGCAGAATACGGGATCGGCGTGGTACGTACGGCCATATTTGCTTTTTCTAGGGTGGCGTTTCCCCCCAGTGGAGGCGTATTTTCTGCCTGCCCTGAGCATATCTGGTGGCTCTGCTGCTGGGTGATGGATTGGATTGGACTGGATGGATTGCCATAATTTAGCATTGCGACGACACAGGCCTTGCTGCAACCTTGCGCTAACTATTTCGGGCAACACCATAGACAAGCAGCTCGCCCCCAAGAGTATCGTCCGCCGCGTCGCGACACACTTTGAGAAGCGATAAGCGACATCGCGACAGTCTTCTTTCGCGCCATTCCGATCCGTTGAGCCAAGGCGAAAGTCAGCGAACTGCTCAATCTTTCCCCAATACTGCTCCGCTGGTAACGAGTATCCGTACTGAAAGCGCGGTTTGTCACGCCTCCACCAACTCGACAAGGATGTCTCACATGGGGCTGGGATGGCACTGACCAGAATAGCTACCCCAGCACGACCTCGATCACGAAACTCCGTTACCCGCGTTGCCTGCTGTCGCTGCCGCTGCGGATGCTGCAGACCCAGATTGCGGCCCAGATCCCGACACAATTCCTTCGACTCTGCCCTTGACCAAGCTCAACAACGGTGACAACTCGAATTGTCTTGCAGCAGACCCAAAGCTTCATCTCGACCGCGACGCGATAAATACGATACCTGACGAGGTCCCCGCACCATGCACTGCCCACAAAACCGCGAGGAAAGTCAATACCCTCCCTAGAGCTTCGGGCCGCGCGCTCTCCACGAAAGTCAAGATGGATGTCTCGCAGCAATCCCCTACTCAAGATAACGACGATCGGGACTACGAGAATTACTACGAAGGTCCTTCATTCGTCGAGACGAGTCCCATTTCACAGGACCACAGCGCCGAGCCGCCAGCGATTCACGAGGAAGATTCCGCAGTTGTTGACTTCGGCAATCTCGACCATCTGATCCAAGGCGACACTCAGGGAGACACTCAAGGCGACGAAGAGCCTTCATCTTTCCCCGACCACGCCGCCCCGGTACATACCCGTGGAGCTTGGCGGAATCGCACCTCCAGTTCTCAACAACAATCCTCTGTTCAGCGTACCGACGGCCAGTCTCCTTTGCTGCCGACCGCCCCTCCACCGCAGACTCCAGCGCGACGGCACAACCCCTTTGCCGGGAAGAAGCTAGGCGACCCTGCTTTAGCAGGATCTCAACTTTTTGGCCAGACGCAGTTCTCATCCGCCGTGAAGCATTTCAGCCCTACCTCTTCGAGACCATCGCCGCACGTCTACGCGCACAACTCCATCTCACCCAACATAGCCGAGACGTCGCCTCTTAAGAACCGGTACAACGTCACATCACCTCCCGATTTGCTTTCTTCGAGTCCTCAAGCTCTGCGAGTCGAAGGCCCGGCGCCCTACGACCGCCAACATAGCCCGAGCTACTCTGCGCCACTCGAAGATGGCACCATACCGGAGTCGCCGCAAATGCCCCCCATAAACACACGGGGCCTACCAGAACCGACGGGCATTTACGAAAGCATGATGGAATCACAAGAGAGGAAAAGAAAGAGTGCTGAGATCCAGCCCGAGCTTTCGGGAGAGGAATCCGACGACGTGGCCGCAAAAGTGGAGCGGAGGAAACGTGCTGCAATGAAAAAGAAGGCGGCTGCGCAAGATCTTACAGCTATTCCCGTGCAGCGAGCAAGCTCTAATGCGTCTGTGGAAGTGCCCTCAACGACCAGCAAGCCGAGGAAACCCCCGCCAAGGAGGATGCGATACCGTGCTCGACGTGCTGACGAGGACTCGACTGCATCCGAAGATGAGGGCGAGGGGTTCACAGTAGCCGATTCCCAAGGCCACGCAGCCGATCAGCCAACTCGTGCCAGAAAGTCGCCTGACGCTGTGGAAGTAGGCAATGGCACGAAAAATGGCCTTGTCTCGAGCAACGATGCGGTGCCCGACAGCGCCGGGCCAACCCAGAAGTCTGCCTCAAATGGCGTGGTACCTGGCACAGAAAGTTCGGGCAACGGATCTCGGCCCAAGGACCTCCTTATACCGGAAACCAGTCCCAACAATACTCAATCTCGGCCAGAAGGGAAAGATGACGTACCGCTAGACGTGTCAGTGGACATTAAGAAGTCACAACAGGCAGAGGAACCGGATGCACCGGTGATCCAGCCAAAGGACATTGAAGCCGAGATCGAGCTTCTACCCGAGACCCCAGAGCCCTCTCTCCCTCAGCCTTCTCGCCGATCGAGCCGCAAGTCCAAGCCAACCCTCAAGGCACAGGTTCTCAAAGGTGCTCATAGTGCCGCCGTGTCCTCAGATGCCGCCGGAACCAACGGGGCTACATCGCCTACCAAGGAGGAGCCAGATACAGATCGAGTTTCGCAGGGAAACGGCGCTACAGCGGTCGACGAGGTGATGGCTACACCGACAGATGTGATCCATGCAGCAATGAATTCGACGGTGAATGGCGAGCCGCCTATGCCATCTTCACCGCCCCTACCAAAGGCTACAAAGGGTGTTGGGCCTCCGGATACGGTTCTCGGTGAGAGTCTTGCCGAGCAAGGTCCGACGACGCCCGACATTCGTGCCAATCCTGCCGCTCCGACTGCTCCTGGCTCAACAACATCAACACTTAGCGTACTTACAACCACACCGGTCCCATCCTCCAAGAGTCCGACTGCGTCACAAGAATCGATTGAACTACCACCTCTCTCACCTGATAAGTCCAAACGTGGACGCCTGCCTGCCAAGGCCTTGCCTAGACTCGCCACTGGATCGAGGGCTCCCAAGCAAGGTACTCGGAAGCAGGTCCGAAGGGCAACTCGCCTTGATTCCGCGTCGACAGATGAGCTGCATCGATCACCATCTGTCAACGGATTCGAGAACAGTATCATTCAACCTCCGAAGACTAGCGTCAGAGGCAGCCGCCTATCGATGCTCTCTCACACATCAACGTCGAAAGACGACGCTAGCAAGCCTCCTATTTTTGCTGGCATGGCATTCGCAATATCTTTCCAATCGAAAAAGGACGGTGAAAAAGTGGATCACTTCGAGCAACGAATGGGTCAAAGTCGCGAAATAGAGAAAATGATTCTACAGTGCGGAGGCTTGTTGTTGAGCAATGGCTTTGACGAGCTCTTCGAGCCCAACGCTCTCGGAAGCACGGCAACCAGCCCAGCTTCAGAAACAAGGGACGAAAATCCACTGACGCTGACCCCGTTTGCGCAGACCATTGGTTTCACCGCCTTGATCGCTGATGGTCACTCCCGCAAGGTCAAGTACATGCAGGCTCTCGCTCTAGGGCTGCCGTGCATTTCGGACCGTTGGATTGCTACTTGCGTCTCGAAAGGCGCTGTGGTCGATTGGCTCCCATATCTGCTCTGCGCTGGTCAATCCACTTTCCTCCGTGATGCCATCCGATCGCGATATCTAGCGCCCTATCCGGCCACTGACGCACGACTTGTGGACGTCATTGAAAGGAGGCCGAAGATGCTGGAAGGCAGCCAAATCCTGCTCGTGATGAAAAAATCTAGGGCTGAAGAAAAGAAGATGCCATACGTGTTCTTGGCACATGTCCTCGGCGCCACACTCTCAAGGGCGTACAGCGTCAATGAAGCAAAAGAGACCCTGAGGCAGCGAGAACTACTTGAAGACCCGTTTGACTGGGTCTATGTCGATGAACATACCGGATCGGAGGAAGGATTATTCAGCGCTGTTGCTCCCGCATCCAAGCCTTCGAAAGCATCGAAGAAGCGAAAGAGGGCAGCGCCGGCAACTGACGACGCTCCCCGGCCGCCAAAGAGAATCAGGACGTTGAGCAACGAGCTTGTCATACAGAGCCTCATTCTAGGACGGATGATTGAAGAAGGTGAAATGGAGGTCTAAGTCACATGGAATTGTATTACTATATGAGATCTGGGATGGAAAAAAGGACGAAGGGAGTTGGTACAAGGCACTTTTACGGCGTTTGAGCATGGGACGGACATATTATGAGGATGATACCTTTAAGCGAGAGAGCTTTGATGTGCTTTTGGTCAACGACCAATATCACCGCAGTTATTCGAGATGAATCAACACGATTGAAGTCATGTTTCCTGCGAGATGATGAGTCGGTTCAGCAGTGGTTCACGAGAAGCACAGAGTAAAACAAGTTATTGAGCGCGAAAACAGTAATCAATTCAGTGAAGCCATGGAGCCAGCCATGCCTTGTTAACAAAACGCCAAAGAACTCCTGATCGTACCTAGTTGCCCATCATTCCTGACCAATCTCGACACCTTTTGGCATTTCATGCCCGAGCCGGGGTCTTCATATTCCCATGATTACTGCTTGCTGCTCACGCTTGAGCCACGACTAGGCGTAGGTGAGGGGGTGGTCATGCCAGTGGTGGCAATGGTGACCTTCTTTGTCTTCTTCGGCTCCGCGCTGCCCTTGGCGACTCCCTCTCCAGCCTCTCCTCCCTTCTTGGGAGGGAGAGGAACCGGGAGCGCCGTGGGCAGGAGGCGGACGTTGGACTTGCCCGCCCCCAGCTGGGCTCGGTGGGTTGCTGCCGCGGAGCCGAAGAAGCCGATTGCGACTAGGCCCTTGGGAAGTTCCTTGGTCTTCTTGGTGCGCTTGGTGACCCTGTTGCTGGTCTTTGTACTGCTGGGAATAGGGGCAGGGTCACCAGAGGCCTTGCTGGCTGGGTTCTTGTCCTTGCCCTTGCCCTTCGACTTGGGCTTGAGATCGTTCTTGGCCTTGGACGACTTGGGCTCGGTTGACTTGGCCTTGATCTCGTCCGAGGTCTTCTTGGTGACCTTGGCCGAAGTCTTGGCAGCAGCCTTGGGCAATGACTTGCCCTTGGCGGCAGGAGACGACTCGGTGACGTGACCGGACTTCTTCACTCCGGATGAGACGGGCTTCAGGACGTTGATCTTGACCTTGGCCATTATCTCGATCCGAATGTTCGCAGAGCGCGGGGCCGGCTTCAAGAAAGGCATCTTGAGTTGAGATGAATGAGTATGTAGAAATAGAAGAGAATAGGTGTGGTTGGATGGTCGATTGTGATCTGGTTTCTGAGCTCTGTAGAGTAGAAAGATTTAGTCCTGGAAAGGTTGAAGAGCCCCGAGCAGGAGATGACGAACCTTTGGAGGGGATGATGGTGGATTATATAGGTCTATCGGACGATTGACGGAACCTCGATGGTCGACCGTGAGGATAAGCTCGCGGAAGGTGACGGATGGCCGTAGGGCGCAAGAGTACCAGACTCTTGGGAACTATCGCGGAATATTAGCCCTCCCGGTCTAGCAGGGTATCGTGGAGGGAACGCTTGTGGCACTTACAGCTGAGGATGAGGAAGGAGCTTTGGTACCAAACCGAAGCTAAAAAGATATCGGAGAAAAGCAGAGATTCGGAGAAGACACTGTACGACTAAGTTAGGTTTGCTCTTTCCTTGGTAGCTGATATGGTGTGTCTTACCGGGTTCTCGGATGGGTGAGTTCTCGGATGGGTGAGGATATTGCGATTGGAAATAGGTGAAAAGGAGGTACCAGAACCGTCAAAAGTATCGTGAAATGGGGGAATGAGAGAAGACCAGTCAATGGCCTTGGGAAAAGAAGTCGGTTCTGGAGAGGTGTGAGACTGGCTCATGAGTTGTTGGCGTGGAAAGTCGAGAAGAGTGGAAGAAGAGGAAGAAGTAGCTGCCAAAAGTGAGGATAATGGTGAAAAGTTGACGGAGGAAGTTGAGGAAGAAAATTGTTAAAGAGAGAAATTTTCAGGAGACCGGACTCTAGACTGTCGGAAAATGTGATTTCGGAGGCCTCGGTGAATGTGAATATGTGATCCCTCGCTTCTCGCTCGAAATTTTACGGTAGCCTGAGTCTCCAGGAGGCCATCGACAAAAGTAGGAAGGAGCGGAGGAGTATCACGATTGGAGAAAGGGCAGGATGATTACGCGGTGATTATACACTGCTCCCAGCCATCACCATTTGAGATCGATGGGATAACTGCCTAAGTGAAGCCAGACGCTCGATTCGGAGAAAAGCTGCATGGGGCAGCAAGTCAAGGAACACGACCATGATTGATGATTGAAGGTGACTGAATTCAGCATCCAAGGGACATTTGCGAACTTGCGTGAAGCCCCTAACTCTGACATAAGATTTCCGGTATACAGATCCCAGATATAGCCATCTCTTAGCATATCCTATGCTTAGGGCCTCAAGCGGTAGATTAGTTTCAGTGACTTCCTTTTCGCAAAGATCTCGACACGACTGGGATACATACGCTTTCTGAGGGCGAGATCACCAACGCCAAGCGTCCATGGTGAAACATACACGTATAAATCTTCCGTAGACTGCGTCGAAGAACACGCCGTGTGCTACCTTACTGAATCAGGTCTCTCTGATGGAAATGTTGGCACGATTTGGTACGCTCGAAGTGACAAGTTTCAACCAATTTTTCTCGAGACACATGCCTCCTCTATCCCCTTCGTCTCACATTCGGTACCGGGCCATCTCGCAGTGGCGGCCTTCTCTCTACGTAAAAAGAGGGTATTAACTCACATGTACTTATGACCAGAGCAATCTGTGATACTCTCATCCAGGTGAGTTGGCATGGCTTCTTCACTCCGAATGAAGTGGGCTTCAGGGCCTTGCTCTCAACTGAGGCAGAGCCTAGATTGATGATTATAGGACATGGAGGACCAAATCGAAGTCACATTCTTTCGCTAGAGACCAACTTCCGTGGATCCTTGCCGTGACAGCCATCGTAGTCTACGGTGAACATCGTACAATCAGAGAGCAACCTCATTGAAGACAGTGAACATCTCATTGTCATCCGCAACACCCCGGCGGGCCTCCTCGTCCTTCTCGAGGAATCCCATCCAGTAATCAACGGCTTCGATGAGCTCCTTCATCTTCTTGGTGTAGACCCCCTCCTTCATCTCTTCGCTCTCGACCAGATCGCGGAGGTACGCCTTGCGGCCTTTGACGAAGAACTCGTGGAGCGCCTTGCAGTTTCTGGGCGACACCTCGATCTTGTGTGAAGCCTGGCCGAGACCATCACCGACGATGCCCTTGACACGAATATCATCCGAAACGGCCTTGAAGAACTCTGGGTTCTCCATCTCATGATCCCCATCCGTCTGGAGGTAGGAAGAACGACAGGTTCTGGCTGATCTGAAGAGCCGGGTGACGAAAGTCTGGATTCGGATGCTGTCGAGGCTGTATGTGCCCTGCAGCCGCAGGGACTCGGAGAGGTTGCTAGCCTCCTCGTCGGGGACGCAGTCCTTGTCGGTGAACTTAAAGCCCACGGAGAAGGCTGTCTTGACCGTGGTGGTCAGGCCAAGCATCGCCTTGGTGATCTTGCGAAAATTGCGAACCTCGGGCTGAACTTTGGCGGGAAGCATGGCTTCAACTGAACCTTGGTCAGGACATGTGTTGAAAACTCCCAGACTTGTGATCGTGATACAGACACTGAACACTTATCAAAGTACCTTATGTTCGCTGAAGAACACAGTTAGTCAGCATTGGTCTAGGCTTGAAGGTGTTTGCTCAAGGATCGTCCTTCAGTTTTCTTTTGGACAAAAAACAAAGGCCCTTGGATAAAGGAAGTATTCTCACATCAGCTACGCTGCAGTGCGACCTCAGCCCTCTTAACCAGCGCATCGACAAACTTATTGCCCCCGGTCGAAACCTCGGCTAATCGGCGGGCGATTAGATCGGCTGGCTTGATCACATATTCCGGCACGACAACATCGCCCTTCTTCCACTCGTACAAGAAGTCAATCTTCTTCCCCTTGCTCGCTATCTTCTTCGATCTGATGAACCCCTCCAGGGATCTAGGATTGTATGTAGCGTGATTCGCCACGCGGTAGTTGACAGAGGGGTGAATCTCCTCATTCGTCTGGCCGAGGTCATTGCCGACATCGTCTTTCTTGTACTCCCCAGGAGTTCTAAACGTTGACAAAAATGGCACAGCTCTCATGATGGGCGCGAAAATGTCTACGATTGGCCCCGTGGCCCAGGCGTCTTCCGGGTCGTACGAATGAGCCTTGAAAAACATCTCGTAAAGCTTGCCGTAGTCCAGCCCTTGACGAATACGTTGCACCACCCAGCTCACACCGAAGGGTTGCTGATGGCGCGAGCGGTGTATGAGCCGATTTCGAGATGAGATTTCTCGATCGGCAAGCGTCGACATTGTATACTTCCCATCTTTGTATCCGTGCTCGTCGTCTAGTTGGATGAAGGTCTTGATCTGGTCACACATCCATGTAAAGGAAATAAGAGCAATTTCTGAGACATGATTAGCTTACTCATTTCTCAAGTAAGAAAGAATGCGATGACTGACGCTCGAAATCGAAGGGGAAGCCGTAGAGAAGGCCTGGGTTGCCGCCTCCGATATTGATGTGGCCGCCAGGGAACCAGACTTGCCGCAACTCAGGTTGATCGCCGTTCAACTGATCCGCCATCTCACGCTCAATCAAGGCCTTCCATGCTTGGGAGAGCTCGTCTTCTGTGGCCTTCGAGTTCGCTTTCAAAAGTGACCTGAACTTTTTGGCAAGCTGGCCTTTTGGCTGTCCGTAACAGTCAGGGCATTGCTCCTTCTGGAGAGGGAGACGCCACAAGGTGGGCGTGAATGGCTGCCGATGCTCGTCAAGGGCTATTGCATGGTACGCATGCTTGATATCTGTAACTTGTCAGATGTGTTCAGTCTTTTAGTCTGGTTAGGTTACGCTAGACTTACATCTACTCAGTGAAGGGTTGTGAAATCCAAGGTCATCGACGCCCAGCCATGGGGCAAGTCTAGCGATTTTGGTAGTCGCACTCTGGGTCCAGGTCAAGCCTGGAACACCCAAGCTCCCGACGGTATCAAATACCCCAACGACCTCAATGGCTCTCGTAAACTCTGGAGGAAGATTATGCGGCTTTTGGTCCCAGTGGTGGTTTTCTTGCTCGTGACCCTGCCGGTATTCGAGTCCCTGTGCGCGAACACCGGTGATCCACTGTCGGTACTCCTTCGATGAACGGAAGTTGAAGCTGTCATTATGGCCATGTCTTCGGTAGAGGTCGTACAGAGCCGGGAAGTCATCCATCTCCTGGGGCTGAATGATTCCAATGTCGGTGATGAGACCCGCAACCGAGCGAGCCGTGTACGCCCCTCGAGAGAACCCAAAGAAGAAGAGTTGATCGTGTGGGGCATAGTTCATGACGATGAAGTTATACGCCTCGATAACGCTGGCCACCAGACCATCGCCAAAAGTAGCTTGCCTGCCCCTCTCGAGAATATTCACGCCACCGCCCGTGCCGACACCGGCGCTGTAAAAGACAACCTGTTGACAGATGCTGTCCTCTTTTCCATCCTCTCTGATGAATCCCGTCAGCGCGACGGAGCGGGCCAGGCGGGTCACGTTGGATGGGATGTTCTGTTGGCCGCTGACGGAAGATTGCCATGTTCCGTCGCAGCAGATGATGATGCGCTTGGGGGTGGATTTCTGGCCTTTATCGGGTACGAGAGTCTCGCGAGAAACTTGTAGTTTGTCTACTTCTTCGAGGTAGTTGGGGGAGAGAAGAGTGTCTTTGTCTTCATTTGTCGCTACTGTGTGGTGAGTCTTGACGTCTGTGGTTCCTTGGACGAAAGATCGCCAAAGATTTGACGAGTTTGTACTTGAAGGCGAGTTGGGTGACATGTTCAACTTTGAAGATTGGGTGGATAGCGATGATCAATTGTGACCTGCTAGGGACTAGACGGCCATGGCGCTGAGGTGGGTATCAAGCAGATACATGTATGAGAGAGGAGGCAGAGGCTTTCAAACAGTTGTATGAGATTATCTCGCGTACGAAGAGAAGTCAATGCAGCTAAGGCTGAAGAGCTGACCGAATTCTCCTGCAGATGCCGTTCCCAGTCAAGCCAGACCAGCCGAACACGGTAAGGACACAAGAATCAACAGATCACTTTACACGTGAATAATACCTTCATGTATAAAGTCTTTTTCAATCTTTGTTTTCATAGCCGACAAAATACCACATGTGAATCAAAGAAAGACAAAATTGAGGGCCGAAGCAATCTGAGACAACAATGCCGGTTGAACACGGCGAGAATTCTTAGCAAGGGCAGGTAAATTTTTAACTCCGTATCTCGGGACGGCTCGTGGCTAGCGGCAATGACATACCTGAGCGCGTCTTTATCTTCGCACCACGTCCCGCGTTCGGCACTCCGTAATCTCGACTGAATTCGCACCTCCAGCTCACTCAGCATTCCACGACACGTACTGGAATCACATGTAATTGAAGCCCACCACCTCAGAGTCCTATTTTCGTCTCCGGCGGCCCAAGATAACTCCCCGCGACGGTTCCGTTCACCGCCAACACGATCTTCTCAAGATAGACCTCTGGCGAATTGACCTGCCAGCGAAGAGAATGCTGCCCCACGCCCATCTGCGGCAGCTGCACAACCTTTGTCCACACATGATTCGCCACATTATCGTTCCACTCTGGGGGTGTATCACCCGGCGTAGCAGGATCGCCAAGCACGCGTGTAAAATTCGCGGTGCCATCACTTCCACTACCGTCAACCGCCAGTGTGAGGGAGAACTCCATCGGGAGGTCTGGGTCTGTGTCGAGTGCGCCGTTGATGTATACTGTAGCGTTTATTGCTTTCGAGACGTTGGAGAAGACGTAGACGTCGTACTCTACCCATGCAGCACGAGCTGCTTCACTGGACCGTCTTGCAGCAGTGAATGGTCTCAGAGCGATGGATCCTGATTCTGAGCGGGAGCCCAGACGCTCAATTTGTGTGAATGCCACCCCGGTATGACTCTCAGATTCGGCGGATGCGCGTTGGTAGTGAGGCCCCTCGATGGAGATGAGGCCGGCTGTCTCAGGGAAGCCGATGAAGTCCCCAGGGGCACGACGGTTCAGCACGGGAATATGAATAAGGTCAAAGTACGGAGCTGGATCCCATTCCACGCGAATTGAAACGGTCTCATTGAGGTCCGCAGGTACCGTGTCCCAATCGATCGAGACTTCAATCCTTTCCTCGGGCTTGTCGTCAGACAAGACGCCAGACGTAGTGGTCACAAGAACCCAAGGGTAAGGGACCTCCAGCGTCCAATTGATGGGAATTCGGTGATCGCCACGGTGGAACAGCTCGACGAGTCGAGATTTTGGCCCGTGAGGCTCCATGGCCGGCAAGACTGGAGAAAAGCCCTCATCGGTTGGTAATGCTGGATGAATGGATCCGCAAATACGGCCTTGACGGTATGCGCTGAGGGAGTTCTCGACGTAGATGCCGAGTTCGCCGACGCCCCAGTCAAATGCTTGCCGCTGCTGGACATATGAAAGGTTGGCGACCACGTCGCTAGACGAGGGCCGCCAGTCCGTGAGGTCCATGTCGTATTTTGGTGTACTGAGCAAGCCTTTCCATTTGCCGTCTAGCATGGTATCGTACTCTTCGGTGAGGTCAAAGTCCTCGTCGAAATGTTGGAGAACCTGTTCGGCAACTACGTTTGCGGCGTTTCTCCTCTCGTAGCTGTATTGCCTATTTCTTCCCGAGTTGATCGCGATGAAATGGTAGTGATACCCGATCAGGGCAGGATAAGTAAGGATATGGAACAACGCGATGCGACGATCCTCAGGCACTGCTTCGTATAAAGCCTTAGCTTTGTCTGCCAGTTGCTTCCAGGCCTCGAGAACGCGTTCTGCCTCACGGTAGTTGAGGATAGAGTACGTCGTGGGTTGTAGTATCTCGAACTTGCGCATCCCGACCAGGTGGCTGTACGTCATGAGCGCAGAAGAGATCTCCTCGGCGTGCTCCGGACCAAAGTCACGAGTTGCGAGTGCCGTCAGGTAAGAAGGTATTTTGGCGAAGTCAAACTTGCTAGTGTTCCATGCCATATCCATGGCAAAAGAAAGCGGTAGCTCATTGGGCTTGATGTCGCCTACGTTCATGACCCAGATCTGTCGGGCGCCGCGTTCGTAAGCCTGAGACAGCTCTTTGTAGACTTTGGGCTGGATAAGACCCAGACGCATCAGTTACTCTACGATGTCAACCCTAGAGTAAGCGCGCACTTACAAAATTGTTTGTGTTTTGAGACTTCCAGCTCTTTGGTTTGCCAACATATTGGAAGTGAAAGTAGACCTGAAGAAAGGCGATGTCAGAATCTATTTCTCGCATGAGGTTTAGATGATGACTTACGCCAATGCCTCCAGCTCTCTCGCTCTCTGACTCGGTAGGGAGTCGTTGAATGTTTCCCCAATTGTCATCAGTAAACATCAAGGTCACGTCTTCAGGAGGGTTCAGGCCAGCCGCGTAGTATGTTGCAACTTCCTTGTATATAGTCCACACCTCTCGAGCAACAAACAAAGTCAGTCGACATTCTATAATAGTGATAAGTGCTGGGAGAGTCTTTTTCTACTCACGATTTGTCACCGTGTTGTTTCCGTGATACTTTGCCAAGATCTCTCGTTCAGTGGCAAACACATCCTCGAGGACCGCAATCGGATCATCGGCATCGATGGGACCATCGTCAGTCCCTCGCATTCCTAATGTAAAGTAGGACTCATTGTTGCCCGCTCGGCGGATCCCCTCGTCCATGAAGGCGACCACGTTTTCTTTATTGTTCACCCAATCCCAGTCGCCCTTTGGATCCTTCTTCCACTCGTTGCTTGCTCGTTGCATGGGCTCATGGTGGCTCGTAGACACAACAATGCCGTAGTCATCCGCCAATTGCTGATTTCGCGGGTCGTCGGTGAAGAAGATTCTCCCCGGTTTGGGGATGTAACTTGCCCACATTGCAGGCCAGATGAAGTTGGCCTTTAGTCGGAGAAGCAAGTCAAAGACGTGCTGATACAACTCGGAGTCAAGGGTAAAGTTGCCCACGTTGTTCTTCTTCCTCCCCCACCAGCCGACGAGTGCGGGTGCTTCATCATTGACGAAGAGACCTCGGTATTTCACGCTGGGCTCACCATGGGTTGTGGTCTTGTTAAGAGCGAAGATTTGGGTGTGCTTGGTTGTCGGCACGTCTGCCCACCAATGTAGACTAACAGTGATGTAATTAGCTCGACAAAGTCTCTGGACAAATTTCTGATGCCTTCTTTAATATTGCAACCCTGCGGTAGGGATGTTTGCTATTCTAGACGTCGGATCCTTGCTTGACTGCAGAAGAGGAAGGCTAGAAGACTCACGGCGACTGTCCGCTTTGCTCAGAAAGGGTATAAATGCCAAAGATAACGGCTCGCTTATCGCTTCCGGAGATGACAAGAGCGCGGGAAATCCCCGGTAGAGGGCTCTCAACGACCTGGGTTCTAAACGTCTCCCACTTCCCGCGAATGTCCTCGACTTCTATCTTCCCGCTGTTGACAAGCTCCTGGATAATAGTTGATTCGACTGTTCCAGCAATGATTGCAACATCGGTGATGATTGTTGAGATTGCTGCCGATGCCCCGGTTTGGTTATTCCCTTCCTGGGCCGTCCACAAGTGGACGGATGGCTGTGTTCCTGTGATTTGCTCGAAGTCGCCGGCCAAGCTATTGACTGCAATGCCGATACCTACAGGGTCGTCGGCGTCTTGAATCAGAGTCGCGTCCTGAAGCTCGATAGATCCCTCCGAGGCTTCGAACGCGATGAAAGACTCTTCTAGTAGAGCCGTGATGAGGCTAGCGGATGCCACCAACCATATCCATGGCATACCACTGTATACCTTCATGATGGATCATCGGCAAGCCCAATTGGAATCAAGTAAAACATACACGGATGAGATGAACTTGATAGAACGAAGGTAGTTGCTTTGCTCTGGCTGTGCAGGTTAGATATATAGACATGGACTGTGTTACACAGCATCGCGTGATGACTGGAATACTATGTCGTGACAAATGCCACTTGACGACACTCGTATCTTCCATGATATGTCCGTGCAGTTGAATGTGAAGGTAGCATGGCAAGCCTGGTGACGTCCATAGCGGCACAACTCATGAGGTGAACTAGGAAGGGTAAGCATTCCCGTGGGAACAAGGCGACGTCATTTGTTGACCGAGTGAGTATTTGCAGCTTGACAATCTTGGCGCGGGGTTGCGGGGTCGTGAAGCAAGAGGACATCGCGTGGTCTTGAACTGATCCTGTGCAGTTGTGCAAGCGGACGAATCATTGTTTACCTGGATTCAAAGGTCGCAGATTGCCAAGCCAGATCAGAGCTTGTTTACCCGGAAGGAGACCTGCATGACCTTCATCTACCCCGACAGGATTATCCCGATGTCCGAGCATCTCCTGGGTCAAGACGATCGTTATTGAAAAGCGGAGGAATAGCCATAGTCAAAAGCAATGCTGTTCTCGTAATGCCTCCTCTATCCCACTTGGACGTCGACAATTCTATTCTATCATCGGTTTGCGCAGTCGTAGCTGCGCGTCGCTAATCTTTGGTCTCGTTATATGCATCTCTTCTCTTCTGAAAGACAACACTGACTGTGATGAGATGTGATTAGCTTCTAAGGATGTTCCAGTCCTTCAATCATCATCCAGGTTTCCATCCGAATAGTAGTCAAAGGCTGTGGGCAACGGTGCATCTTTGCTGTTGGGGCCATCCGGGTCAACTTCATCCACCAGGTGCTTCTTAACTTCCTGCGCGACGGGCTGGGTAGAATCCACAGGGGCAGAGCCTTGGACCGGGCCCGGTGAGTGATGGGTATGGTCTGCGCGCAACATCGTTGTCATCCATTTTGCCCATTCCCAGGGCTTCTCTCGACCAGATGGCAAGCTATTGAAGTACTCCCATCCCATGACTCCTCCGAAGCGCGCATAACGATTTCGGAGCGTCAGAAGCACAGCGCCGAGCATCTCCCACGGGACCCATCCGCCGCCATTTTCGGGATTCGTGACCAGGCCCATGACGACTTTCTCCGGTGCCCAGCCCTTCGCGAGGATCATCTCGTACATGATCGGGTTACTGACGTCGCCCCATCCGCAGTAGAACTGAGCATTGTACCAGGCAATCTCCCTTCCTCGCATGACCTCCAGAGCCTCGTAGTCGAAGCCACTAAGATTGTTCTCGGAGTTGAGCAGCGCCGCAGCCACTGGGGCCATAGAGATAATAAAGTCCTTGCCAAAGTCCTGTCGCACCCGGTCAATGAGCCGTATGATACCGCCCAGGCTCATCTCCTCTTCAACGTCGAGATCGATGCCGTCCAGCCCTCGTGTCCGAAGCATGTCGCGCAAAGGTATGTAGTATTTTTCAAACTTCTCCTCATCCCCGTCCAGCCTCTCGTAGGAGCCCTTGGCAGCACCGCCGAGCATACCAAGCACCTTGACGCCGCTGGCCTGCAACACCCGTAGCTCGGCCCATAGTGTAAGGAATCGCGGGTTATTGGGGGTATGGTCGTTCAAGGTGAGGCCGTGGGGATCATCGTTAATGTGTATCGCCGCGAGAATCACATGGGTGACGCTGATCCCACCTTGGGTAAGGAGCGGGAGAATCGAGATGGGCTTGCCGTCGGGCGTGTGGTGTGTTTGGTAGTAGGTGATTACCCGCGGGAGAGGCTGGGGCGGTACGGGCGGCATTGGAGCGAAAGAGGCTGGCTGCCTCGATCTCGCGAGGATCGAGGGCTTCCGTATGGGATTGGAACAACCGACGCGACGCGTGGGATGGTGGAAGATCGAGTGGTTGCATGCGCCAGCGCTTTGGGAGAGCTAACAATGCGGGGTGGGAATTGGGAGGTGTTTGGATTGACGGCCCCGCCACGAGGCCCTGCTGGGAGCTGCGTCATCAGGACCCTCGAAGCTGACATAAGCTCATTTCTGGTTCGTCTCCCACGCTTTTCTCATTCATCCACTCACTCACATCAACATCTCATCTTATCGATCGTGAAAGCTGCGCTTAAGTCATTAATTTTCATTTCATTTTTTTTCATAAACCCTTGATTCTTTGTAATTGATACTAGAACCCTTGCATTCATCTTTCTACCGATTCATCATCTACACCCACTAGAGCTTGCAATGTGAGGCTGGCCGCATAGATGAAAAGCCTATTAACAACATCCATCAGCTACCCCTACCAGATTGGCTGCTTCCCACCCTTGTCCATTACTCTAGTTTTGCTCGGATATTGGGATACCACATGGAAACACCCAACGGAATACACTGTGAGGATAACCCCAATGATATAGTACAACTGTTGATCGAAAATTTCCGGAATAGTGAGCACAAAGAACCCGAAAGGTGCAAAGGTCCAGATGGTGCCGATGATGTTGACGACGCAGAAGCCGAGAGACAGTCCATGCCGGGAGCCAGCTCTCAAGTAGTGATGAGTTGGCCCAAGGACAATTAGGACGTTGGTGAAGCAGAACCATTGCATGACGGATCCCTCACCCATGAACTCAATAGCCAGAAGCACGACTGAGTACATGCCCATCTGCAACGCCAGGGCGTATGTAATGGCTGCATACATTGATGGCTGCTTTCCGAGGATATTCCCAAAGCTGGCATCGCGCTCTTTGGTGATGGATCGATGGATAGTCCATACTTCAAGCATCGTCCAGAGGAAGAGCGCTATCGAGTTGCCTCTCAGGTACCAGTGCTCCCCGTACTGTGAAGCAGCTTTGCCGAGAGTGTAGGACCATGTCGAGTCGTGGGCGAGGTAGAATGAGTGCATCCAGAAGGGCATTGGGCCCTTTCCTTCACGTAGAGTGAGCCGGACAACGTAGGTGTACTGGAGGTAGCCGATGATGAAGCTAACGGCAGAAGCGATCAAAATTGGAGTATTGTCCAAACGATAGACCTCGGTTATACGCTCATAGTAGTTAATGGTCGACATGTTGCCGATAGATTCAATGAGGTGAAGTGGTAATCGCAAATGGAATCTTGTACGGACTTTGTAAGAGATTCGATGCCGGTAAGCGCATGCATTCAAGCACTTACCGAGTAGAAAAGATAATCACCAGCAGTATTCAGAAAGAGTCTTCTTATAAGACTTCGGAATCAGGTCTAAGGGGAGGCAATGCCCAGACCTTCATAGCATGATCTAGGTAAAGGTTCGAGGACCTCGGCGCCGAGATTCCAAGTCCAGACAGTCTAAGCCCAGCGCCAACGCTATGGCCTCCATCAAAATACCGGCAACCAGGTTCTTGACACGGATGTCCCTGGTTTCTGGGGTTCTATGAATGCAAGTGGGATGTTGATGTCTCCGCTTCATCGGGGTCCAACGCACACCGCTTGAACTCTAACATGGGCATCTCAACGTTGTCAGCCAGACTTCGGCCGAACACCTCGCCGCTCAAGCTGACTATGCAGAATGCACTGGCCAGTGGCCAGAAGATGAAATCAGCAATCACATAAGATTCAAAGCTTATGAAGACCTAGATAACCTCTTCGTACTGGTTAATCAAGCGTTGAGGCACCAAACCCCGCAAAACCACAACACCAGCGTGCACGATCCCCCATCTCACCGTCGTCAAGACATCCGCCATGATCCACACCAAGCCATTCGTCCTCTTGCGCTCTCTCCGCAAAGCAACCTCGCCCCGTACCGCGCGCTCCGACATGCTCGCAACAAGAGCCTCCATCTCACCTTGCGGATCCCAAATCATCTCGTCGTCCTCGAAGTCATCCTCATCGTCAAAGGCGTCAAACGCCCGCCGCGAGGATGCCCGGTATGATCGGCTGGGTCGCGCGTGGTGATATGCCCAGCAGGTCAGCGTCGCCAGGTACAGACACCACGGCACGTGGAAGAGGTTCATGGCCTCCATGCTGTTCAGCGTCCTCTTGGTTTCGACTAGCATTCTCGCCGCATGCCATGCTGCTTCGGACGCGGATTGCTTAGATTGATCAGCGTTGGCGTCGGTAGCTCCGCTTCGATCTTGTCTTGGGCCGAGTGGATGGTTCTGCTGCTGCTGCTGCTGCTGCTGCTGTGTCTCGCAGCCTGAAGCAGCCCACTTCTTCACCACCTGTGCGGATCTGTGGTAGTCGCGCTGCTGTACTGGTCTACCGAGAATGTGACGAGCACCAGCGTATATCTGGACATCCAAGAAGTCCATGTTGAGCAAGGCTTGTGCTGAGTGATAGAGAGCCTTGTATGCTGCCGCAAATGACTCAAACTCCACTCTCCGCGTCAAATCTTCGTCGTCCTCCTGCTGTTGGTTTCCCTGAGCCTGGGAGGCAGATCCCCGTTGTAATTGGGACGCGAAGCTAGCACAGAATGTATCAAAGTCGTTTTTCCATGCGTCGTAGGCCGTGCTCAGCAATTTGCGCCAACCCATCCCGAAGCTGTCTCCAGACACGACGCCCAGAGCCGTCTGGTCCCGTCGGCCCATGTCCCAGGAGATGGACATCAAGCCATGGAGAACAAGAATTCTTGAGAATCCAGTGAGACCAGCAGGTCGTGGGGCTGACGGTGTCAGATAGGATTTGAGAGTGGGCAAGTAAAACAGCCTCTGGTCGCTGAGACTTGAGCGCCATGCCGATGCCCATGATGCGGCATCCCGAGCTTCCCAGATGCTCTGGCTGCACGGGAGTTCGAGTCGAAGCTCAAAGGCTGACATGCAAAGACTTTGGCAAAAGAGAACTGCGTGCTGGGTATCCCACATAAAACAGAGTAAGGCCAACCTAAGCTTCTGTTAGCCCTTTGTTGACTACAATGGATTGCAAAGTGAACATCAAGCCATACCTTTTCTTCTGCTCCGCATCGGCCCACTTCCTCCATGCCTGGTCTAACACGCCGGCGTTATCTTCGCCCGAGACTGGTGGCGGACCCGGCGGTCGCACAGTCTGGCAATCGGAACGGCGAATGAGATTGATCAAAAGTCCATGGAACAAATGGCTCATGTCGTGTTGTTTCTGACCGGCACGCGACTTGCCAAAGCATTCGACCAGAAGAATTGTCTGCAACGTCCAGAGCTCTGGCCTAGGTGAGAACCCGGCATGGGCAAAGATACTCGGCCGGATGACATCATGTATGCAAACAGCAAGTTGATGACAGTCTTTGCTCGAGTACGTGGCACCCAGCAGCAGGATGGACAACAGAAGCAGAGGCTCGGTACTCCTGCAGTCAAAGGTTTCTAGGTGGATGAGGGGGTATGCGGTGTTGAAGCGAGTGAAGAATAGCTCCAAGTACGACTTGAGTGAGTCCGCTGATAATAAAGGGTGCTCCCATATTGTGACGCGTTGATCAGGGAGATTCGGCTTAGCGCCGTCAATGACGTTTAGCAGCCTCTCTCTCACATCTTCACCAATTGAAGGGATCGTAAGCGGCTTCCGCAAAGAAGACAGTGGTCTCTCTGGCTCGGTCGGAGTTGGCCGGCTGGGTGCAGGGTAACGCTGTCGAGCTGCTGGTGGCGCATCGCTAGGTCTTCGAGATTGCGGGACGTCTGAGCTCCTCTCCCTGGAGTTTCTCATTGCTTGCCGCCTGGCGGCTTCATTGGCGGTTGTCGATGGGTTGTTAGGTGGACCGGACGACCTCTGTCTCTCCTGATCTTTGGCACTCATGTCCATAGGATCGGTCCACAGCTGCGCGCTCTTCATCGACTCTGGTGTGATTGCGACGTTTGCTCGCGATTTACTTTGAGATTGGCTGTTTGCCATGTGAGTTTCAAAGTCTTGACCAAGGTTGGAAGGTCTCGACGCCGCGGGGGAAGCTGAGTTATCTTGCATGTTGAATAGCCAGTTGTAATCCAGCGCAGTGGTATATGGCATGTTAAAGGAGCTGGCAGTGTCGGGTTGGAAGATCTGATCGTAGTCCAACTGTTCGCTCATGAATGATGTCTCGCCCCAGCTACTGGGCTGGGTCGTTTCGATATCGAAGTGGTTCTCCGATCCTATGAAATCGGAAAACTGTAAAGAAGGAGGGAACCCCGAAAAGTTGGTGACGGGTTCAGTTGGATTAAAAACGTCTTCACGTCCGAAGGAATACTGTTGAGTGTCGCTTTGGCTTCCTGGCCGTAGATCCAAGGTCGAGCGTCTGTGAAACTCTGGTGATATGCTGTCGATGGAGTAGTCCTGGTCTGGCTCTATGTCTAAGCCGGACAGACTGTGATCCCCGTCGTGGGGCTCCGGGTCAGGTGAAGGAACCTGTTGAGCTTGAGGACGCTCTTTTCCTGCCGAGGCCCGGCCCCGTCCAGACGGATTCGGGCAGGGCCGCTTTTCTACAACAGACCCGTCCGGGGCCTTCCAAGATCGCTTTCGTGTGTCTAGAACGCCGCAGCCTGGTCCGCCTGCTTCGAGATCTTTTTGGCGGTGACGGTCCATATGCCGTTCTGGTTGTAGATGAATATGAAGTCAGCGGGCTATTCCTTTTCGAAAGACTCGAGATTGAATTACAAACGGTAGTAGTTGTCGACATATTGCTTCTTTGTTTCGTCTTTGAATCTACTTACTCAACAGATCGGGTCGCTTGAAGTGAGCATTGCACAAATCGCAGCTCAACCCGCCAGGCATGTGGTTGAGAGCATGACGTTGCATGTGCTCAGCACGAGTGAAGCGTCTGTTGCATCCCGGGTGCGTGCAAGAAAAGGTCTTGTCTTCGCCCATCAAGCCTTCTGAGCTCTCTGAGCGACGATGGTTCTCACCAGCACCAGCCATGGCGTAGGAGTCGTTCATGGTTTCACCGCCGAGTTGCAAATTACACCAATCCACTTCCGAGAAAGAGACCTATGTCAGTCGACCCCTGGCAAAGCGAAGAAAGGAAAATCTCGATAACTCGAGCCTTAGGAAGAGACTTGGAAAGACTGGCAAAGTTGGCAGAGTGAAACCACGGTTCAGGTGTCTCGCTTGCTTCGATAGGAGCTCATAGATGGGGGAATGGGGATGGACATAGCATCCGAATGTGCCGTCCCACTTCTCCGCATTTCTTCCGGCTTTGAAGAGTAACGATACCCGGCTTCCTAGGCCGAGTAGAATCTCCATACTAGGAAGTGTCATAAATCTCCGATTTGTTGATCGCACAACATCCCGGCACTAGGTCTCGGTGTCGTCCCTCCCCCACTCTCGAAGACTCCCGCCACTTCTGATAAGCATCGTCCCTGGCCTCGCAATTCGTATCCGACAACACCAACATAAGTCCGAAGAGATAAGAGTGGGGTACAGGCGACCTCGGCGTACTGGTATTACGCTCCAGCTGCGGGCGTATCTTATCTAGCTACTTTAGATATGCGACACATGCAGATACGAATTGAACTTTACGTAGGACAATTGATGTTCGCGGAGTTGCATATCCGGAGAGAGGAGACGTATCAATTATGGCGATCGCGTTGAGCGCACCAAGTAAAGCCGGCAATGACCGTGAACTACGCCTCTAACGACAGTGAATGGATGATGCGGCCATTCCACTCTTCGAGAACGCTGTAGCATGCATTTGTAAGAGCTAAGATAGTTTTTGGTAGCCAAACAGCTGGATTATTATATACAAATTTGCCAGTGCACCAACACCATCACCATCTAATACAGTCAACACCAGATGACAGGAAGTTGCATAAGGCCCGTGAGTATATGCACTAGACGCTTGATGCTCTCTTCCAATACGGCATAGATCAGCATAATATTCGCGCCCTCGAGAGCAAACTCAAGCTGTGCTACCAGACACCAGCATTATGTTGCCGTCAACGTCGAGGAGTTATTTAATTCAAGAAAAGCAACAGCGCGATGCGAGTAGCAAGCTTCACGTGAGTCTTCCTCTATCACACACTTAGTTGAAGTCGCCCAACTAATTCTCTATGCTAGGTCATAATCGTGGGAGCGGGTCTGGGTGGTCTAGGCGCAGCCATCTCGACGCTGCTTGCTGGACACGATGTCACGGTTCTAGAAGCCGCCTCAAATATCGGTGAGGTCGGTGCGGGCATCCAAGTCCTCCCGAACGCCGCCCGCGTCCTATTCTCATGGGGCTTGGAGGAGAAGCTGGAAAAGTACGCCACAAAGCCTCAGAAATGCAACTTCATCGGCTGGAAGGGCAACTTCCTATCCGAAATGGACTATCACAAGTACGCCGCGGCGGCGGGAGAATTCCCCTTCTGGGATTTCCATCGCTCTGACCTGCATCGGTGTCTCCTCGAGCGCGCAGTAGAGCTCGGCGCGAAGCTTGAGACGAATGCAAAGGTCGATACCTTTACAATCTCACCGGATGACACGACGGCCACGGTATACCTCGTTGGCGGACGCAGCCTGACGTGCGACCTCCTCGTTGGCGCAGACGGCATCAACTCCAAGCTGAGGGAGGAGTTCTTGTGCAAGCCTGATCCACCTCAGCTGACAGGGGACCTGGCTTATCGACTGCTTTTGAACACGGCCGACATGCTCAAGGACCCCGAATTGAGGCACTTTGTGGAGAACCCCCAAGTGAACTACTGGGTTGGGCCGGACAAGCACGCGGTGAACTATGTTCTCAAGGGCGGTCAGCTCTTCAACATGGTGTTGCTGGTGCCGGATGACATGCCCGTCGACGGCGGCAACACCCTGCAGGGGAACATTGAGGAGATGCGGGGCCATTTTGCAGGCTGGGATCCCCGCATCGGCAAGATGCTCCAGATGTGCGATGAGGTTCTCAAATGGAGACTGTGCATCCGGCCAGGCCTGGAACCAACGTGGTCCCATCCGTCTGGTGCCTTCACGATGCTCGGGGACGCCGTGCACGCGACGCTGCCTTACCTGGCCAGCGGGGCGGGCATGGCGCTCGAGGACGGAGGGGTCCTGGGTCTCTGCCTCGCTCGATTGACCGACACTTCAGCCGCATCAAAGCGACAGGCCCTAAAGGTCTACGAAGACTGCCGACGGGAGCGGACGGAGAGGGTCGTCCGCCGCGGGACGTACAACCAGTGGATCTATCACCTCCACGACGGGCCAGAGCAGGTTGAGCGAGACGCGAAGTTCAAGGAGTTTGAGGCCATGGACGCGAAGTGGCTCAGCGAGAATTCAGCCGTGTTGCCCGCATCTCAGGAGACAGGAGATGACCCCTTTCCGTGGAGGTATCATGGCGTAGGGAGGTGGTTATTGACATACGACATGTGGAAGGATATTGAATCGAAATGGCCCTCCGACTCGGCCGGCACATCGGCAAAAGGAGAAAACCCAACCCCTCGCGCCAGTTTGTAGAGCGTAAGCTTATTAACCTGTAAAAAAAAAAGTAGAAACTTTGAACAATACGAGAGAGAGCCTTAGCCGTTGTTGCCTGTTAATTCCGGGCTGGATCGGGCCCTTGTAGGTTAGCTGCGATCTTAATTATGCAAAACGAGGAATAGTAAGCAATAGTCGCAAAGCCTGCCTTACCGTTTCCCCTGCTCCTTTGTTTTTGGTTCGATAGCTTGGCGGCTTAGCTTGAACCAAGATGGAAAATCTCCGGCGGGGGGGTCATGGGGAGCTAGACGGTTTTGGGCAATGTTATTAACCAGATTGATCACCAGCAAACTCGCGAGAACGTCAAAACGGTGTCGCCCTGCGTGAAAGCGTCTAGGTACTGGCAGTCCCGGGGATATGGTTCGTTACCAAGGATACAAACAACTCAACCCAGCCAGCTGGGCCAGCTGAAGCAGCTGAGCGTTATATTGACTCTAGCACAGTGGAGAAGGATGCCGTATTTCGTCCAATAATGGTTAAGATGTCTTGAACTGGGAGAGATTAAGCAACACCGACCCCGTCTTACCGTTCCCAGGCCGCGTTTCCCATCCCATGTCCATGTCTGAGGGGTAATATCCTCGGAGCCCTCGAGGACTTCAACACCACCAGATTGGAAGAGCCGCGTACGAAAATAAGGTCGACTAAGGAGGAAGCTAAGAAGAAAAGGGGTACGAAATCCGGAGGGCTGGTAAGCGCGCCGCCTAGCGAGCCGGCGCCTGAAACCAACTAACATAGGTCGGCGCACGGTGCCTGGCAGTCAGTCCAGAGGAAAGTTGGGAACACCAACACGCGCGTGGCACTCACGATAGTACGAGAAAGCTGAACGACAGCTCGCCTAATCAGCGCTTGGTCAAGCTTTCTGGCATGGGCTAGGTTGACGAGGAGTCCAGAACCATGGTCTTCGCCCACGTGGAGGCTTGCCCACGAGGCAGATTCACGGCGGCCGCTTGTTGACATTTTGCTGAATCGTGAGCTGAAGCATCCCGAATACATAAGTCTGCGATCTTCCTCCCCATCTCCCGATTCAGATCTTCTTATCCATCCTCATCATCTCAGAAGCTCCCGAACATCCTCAGCTTCCTCAACCGGGTCATCACTACTCTCTCCAGTCTCGCCACGCGCTCTAGACACCTGCCAATACTTCAAGATGCGTTCCGCTATCCTCGTTGCCGCCATCTCTGGCCTTGCTGCCGCCGGCCCTGTCGCTCCCCGTGACACTACGGCCCAGAACGGTATTGATCTGAGTGCCTTCGACGTGAGTCCACCCTGCCGGTAAAGCCTCTTTTCTCGCTTCAGGCTGACCCCCAATACAGGCTGAGCCTGTTCCTACCAAGGTTGGCCCCGCCGTCGGTGCCACCGTCGAGACTCCCACCTACGACCCGGCGGTTGCCAAGGCTGAGGCCTCAAAGGATGCCGCGGCGAACCCCATTGCCGTCTCCAACTCCACCCTGACTGCCCGTACGGTTACCCCCGCCGGCTGCGGAGCCAAGCAGCCCGACGGCTACGGACCCGTGTCCAGCCCGGACGACTATGACACCTTCATGAACGACCCTCAGTTCACTGCCATTGCCACCGGTGCTCAGGTGCCTGCTGGGTACAGCCTGTCGTTCTCCAACAAGCAGGGCGCCACGGAGTGCGGCACTTACTTGGGTCTCTACACCATGAAGACCTTTGACACCATCAAGTGCCAGCAGGTAAAGACAACTTCACCCAGAACAACCTTGATGGATACAATATCTAACCGTAAATAGTACTGCGATGCCGCTCCATCATGCTACGGCATCAACGTCTACATGGAGAGAGACCCCAAGTGGGACCCTACCGATGCGTGCCCCAACCCTGCCAGCATCACCAACTACAAGTGCACCCTCTGGGGTTCTGCCGTCACCGCGGAGACCGCCACCAATGTTGGACAGTGGAGAAACCAGTTCCACGTCGGTGTGACCGGATCAAACGGTACGGAATCCTGATCATCCCAATGCCAGCTATCAAGAGGACTAACTGACTCCAAATAGGATACTCCAAGCTTGCGCCTCCCCCTCAATACGCCGACTTCACCGGCCCTGTTGCCTTCGGCGGCGCCACTCAGGCCCCCAAGTCATACATGGGATCCAAGTACTACCCCGGTGTCTACAACCCTGAGCAGTGCGCCGTCGCCTGCAAGGCCAACACCAAGTACGACCACGACCACCCCAGAGCTGACGGCACCTATGATGCCTGCAACTTCTTCAACGCCTACGTTCTCAGCAAGAACAATGTTCCCCAGGGAACTTACTGCTCCCTGTACACCCAGTCCTGGGACAAGTCCTACAGCACCAACGTTGGACAGTGGAGAGGCAGCGACTACTACTCCGTCTCCTCCAGCTACGGATACGCTCTTACTGTCCAGGACGCTGGAAAGATCTAAAGGGTCGGGATTTCTGATGAGCATCCTACGCTTCTCGAGGCTCTAATCACTTTTGACACTTTCAATGCTTATGAGACCATTGAAAAGTTGGACAGGTCTTGTGTGGCGAAGCATAGATTGATCACAGACCGATACGATTTCAAGAATAATGAGGCGGAATGGAGAGTACATTACATACCTAGTCTATAATTAGTGACGGTAGTAAATATTGATGGTAATTGCATAGTATTAACTCTCAAAATGA